GTTTCACTCCTATTTCTTGCATTTGATATCAGACTCAGCAATTACCATTTTTATTTTCACTATGGCACCTTACCACTACTTTTTTTTTTCAAAAAGCATATATATGCTTCCGTAAGAAAAGATTGAATAAATTTCTCAACTTTGAATAAATTCAGACTACCAAATCATTCGCAATAATTGGTTTCTGATATTTTTCATTAACAATTCCTGATATTACAAAAGTGTCTCTATTCGAAATTCTTAAATACACTTCTTATATTGTAATAGCAATTATACGGAGTTTAACTAAATATTATATATTAACAATAATAATATTATATATTATAAAATAAATAAATAATAATAAATAAATAAATAATACATACATACATACATTGGTAGCTTTAGGTAGTTACGGTGTAAACGCTAGGTAGCTTTAGCGTCTGGCTTACAACTGATAATGGTAGCAAATGTCAGAGGTGAAAATTATTTTTCTCTTAGCGTCGTGGTTCTTTTGTTCCCGCAATCGATAGCTTCGAGAAGAACTTTGTATAACCGTGAAAGCAATGCGACCATGTGGCTGCCGAAGCCAGTTTATTACGCGATCCCCGTAAGCAGGCGACGATACGAATCCCGAAACGCTGTTTCACGGTCTCAAATAGCTCGGTTCGATTTTCTCAGGCGAGAGCGCAGAAGGAATGGCACGTCCTGCAGGAGCGGAAGCAAAGGGCTCGGCAGTTGCAGCTGGAACAAGAGGCGAAGATCCGGGAGGAGTTCGAGGCGAAGCAGGAGGCGATTCGCAAGAAACACGAGGAGGAGAAACAAAAGCGAGAGGAGGACATCAAGAAGCGGGAGCAATTGGTCAAGGAGATCGACGACTACATCGACAACGGGATCAAGACGCCGGAAACTTTGCGCGAGGTAATCGACAGTCAGCCTGGCAAGGAGCTCTGCCCTTTCTTCACCAAAACTGCCGCCTGCAGGTAATCCAACGACCCTGGTTTCGAACATAATCTCTTTCATATTCTTATATTATTATATTCTTATATTATTATATTCTTATATTATTATTATTCATATTATATTATATTCTTCATATTACATATTCATATACTTCCTTTCAGATACGGCGACACCTGCTCGAGGAACCATCGGCGAGTATGCCTGAGCAAGGTGATTCTGGTACCTGGATTCTACACGCATTTCTCCCTCGAGAAGAACTCCGCGGAGTATGACACCGATATAGCGCTCGAGTTCGAGAGTTCGGAGACCCGGCAGCATTTCCGCGAGTTCTACAAGGACGTGGTGCCCGAGCTCGAGTCGTTCGGCCGAATAAAGACCTTGAAGTACTGCTGCAACACCGAGATCCATCTCCGTGGAAACCTGTACGTCGAGTATTATACCGAACGGGAGGCGGCCCGGGCGCTGAGAAAGCTGAAGGCGCGTTGGTACGCCGGCAGGCAGCTTAACTGCGAGTTCGCCAATCTGAAGTCCTGGAGGAGCGCCGTCTGCGGCATGGCGAAATGCCCGAAAGGGAGAGCGTGCAACTTTCTGCACACCTTTCGAAATCCGCGCGACGAGTACGATATTAAAAGCCCGCCTAGGTGGGCAAAGACCTCGGGTTCCTTTCCTCAAGATGTTGCGACCAGCAGGAGAATCGAGTACAGGTAGGCTAACAGCCTGGGGGCTCCCGTCTGTCCTCGGTTTGTTCTCGACGTCGCAATGCGTGATGTTTATATTAGGGTGTCCTATAATTTCTTTCCTTTTTTCTGATGCGAAACGATTACACGATATTTGTTGTTTAAGGTTGATTCATCGAGTTGTATACGAACCGTTTTGCTCTATTACCTTCTTCCATCTTTCAAGAAGCCTCATTATGCCGTCTTTCCAAGATTGTTGAGGCTTATTTGCAAAATATCGATCAAAGTGCGTTCTTATTTCGCTTACGAACTTGAACCGTTTTTCACGGAGAGAATTTTTGAACGAGAAGAACAGAGAATTTGTTACGAGAAGAAGTAATAATCGGATGGAGCAATGTCTGCGGAGTACGGAGGATGAGGTAGAACGGTCCCAAGCAAATTGCAATAATTTTTGTCTTACGACCAACGCAACATGCGGTTTTGCGTTGTCGTGATGAAAATTTGACGGTGTGGAACTTCGAATCGATTCACATATCCCGTCTGGATCAAATGCTTATGTACCGTTGTCCTGGGTACGTTAGTGGCATCTGCTATCTCGCGCACACTATATCGCGAATTTTCAGCGAGCATATCTTTGATAAGGTCCGCATCCGTCGTTGTTGGACGTCGCTGCGATCTTCATCTTTCAAATCATAATTGCCAGCTCCAAATCTCTTAAACCAATTGCGGACTGTCCTAATAGTCGTAGAACCGTCACCGTAAACGGTAGAAATCTCGTTTGCAGTGTCCTGTGCCCTATCACTTTTTTGTTAAAGCAACGAAGCATAACATGCCGCAAATGCTTCTTTTGGCTATCCATATTGAACGGCGTAGAACAAATTTGATAAGGAACTTTCGTCACCAACGAAACGTACTCTAAAAGAGCTCTGGGACGACTGAAACCGATACCCTAAACAGCCAAGAGATAAGCCTGCGTGTTTATATAAACAAAGCTGGTTAGATTCATTCGTAGCGCGGCGCGGAAAGAACTTATGGGACACCCTAATATTACTGTGTTCATAGACTTTTTGTTTCCTGCGTCTTTCTGCTTCTTTCTATCGCATGATTATTTTCGTCTCTCAGGAACAAGTCGAAATGGGAGGACGGAAGCGAAGCGGACGACGGCAAGAACTGGCGGTGGTCCGACTCTCCGGAGCCAGAGACCGAGCAACAGTACTCCAGAAACACGGAGAGACGACATCGCCGTGGCGACGAGTCGGCGCACCGACAAAAGTCGACGCGCGAGAAACGCGTCAGGTCGACCGCAGATAACGACGAGACGGCTAGAAAACGGCGTCGTTCGACGTCCAAGAAATATTTCGAGGAGAACGCGAAAGAGGAGGACGCTTCGAATGGCCGCGAGTCCAGGAGGTACTCGCGGAAGAAGAGAGAAGACGACGAGGGTGAGGATCGCGAGGAGTCAAGGTCGCCGAGGTACCATCGCAAGCGATACTCGAAAAGCGGCGACGGTGGCTACCACTCGAAGAGTCGAAGATACTCCAACAAATACTCCAGGCAGGAGAGAGAGGGTCGCGAGAAAGACAGACGACAATCGAGGAGCCATCGAGATTTCGAGGATTCGCCAAGGCGGAAGTCGAAGGCGACCTCTGGGACGGTCGACGCCGAAAAGACCGACCACTTCAAAGATATCGCTTGTTTAAAGTCCAAGTGGGATAAAGACGCTTCCGTTCAGAACGATTCGGACAGTTCAGAGTCCTCGGACTCGGACTCTTCGAGCAGCGTCGAGGAGAAAGACACGGACAAGTCCGCGACATCTGCGAAACCCTGCAGACGCTACTCCGACGACGCTTGGGCCACGACGGACTCCGAGAACGACGCGACAGCAAACGACAAACGATGATACTTGTAATTATATTTCAATCGGACGATCGGTCGTTCTTTCCATATCGAAGTGCATTTGAACAATAAAGTATTTTATATCCGCGGATTCCGATTGTGCAACTACATCCGTTCCCTGTGGAAACGACGCGCGGACCAGCCGATAAGCATCCCTTGAATGCATCGCGCAACTATATTGCTCGACGATTGCGTTGATTCAAAGCATTCCAACGATAAACCGTATCTATCGAGTGGCAATATATCGTTGCTAACGATTCAGTATTTTTATCGGATTTGATTGCGTGTACTCGATGGAGATTAAAAGATCAACTGCTTTCTATGATTTATCAGATAAATCTTCTTTTTAATTTTGAACAGTTCTTAGTGGCGATTGTCCCGATATCTTGCCGATAGGTTTTAAAACACGCACGGCAGCGTTTTGAGAATCAGTATTCGGTGAATTAGAGTGGTTGCAAAGTCTCTCTGGGTGAATCTAGAGAATTCGACATGATCGTTTTCGGCATTTTGTGGGCGTTTTGCGCCGTTTTCCAACTCGGCGATGCCGGCGGCCTACGTACGTTCCGTTTTCAAGGTCTACAAGAGCCGGACACTTCGGGCCTGATCGACGCACAGAGCATAAACGAGGCCTGGATCGAGCAGCCCCTCGATCACTTCAATCCTCGGGAGAATCGCACCTGGTCGATGGTACTTGAACGAATCATAATCCCACGGTAACTCGAATTAACCGCGCGTTTTATTTCGACAGCGCTACTACGAAAATTCCGCGTTGTTCAAACCCGGCGGGCCCATTTTTATCATGATCGGAGGGGAATGGGAAATATCCACGGGTTACCTGCAGACCGGTCTGATGTACGATATAGCGAAGGCGCACAACGCTATGCTGTACTATACCGAGCATCGTTACTACGGCAAGAGTCATCCGACCGAGTAAGAGATCCGTTTCCGGTCCGATCGCGTCGGACAAGATTCGAATTTCGCCGACGTAAATACGTTTTAGGGACCTCGGCTTGGATAACATGCAATACTTGAGCGTCGATCAATCGTTGGCCGACTTGGCGTATTTCATAGAGGCTAAAAAGGAGGAGAAGTCGTTCCAGGACAGCATCGTGATCGTTTTCGGAGGGTCTTACGGTGGCAACATGGCGGCCTGGTCCAGGCTGAAATACCCACACCTCATTCAAGTACTTCTTTCGCTTTTAACGCTTATCCTTGATTATCTAAAGCCTTTCTTAACCAGTTAGCTGTGGCGCCTCCATATCAGAGCGCGCACGTATATGTGTTGCGAGAATCAAGCGATGACGAGTATACTCGTCGAACACAATGTTAAAGTGTCGCTGTTAAAATATTGGATCGAAAAGACGGTTTTATTTGATAAAATTAACAATTTTATTACTAATATTTACTTATTCACTCGACGTTAACAAATACCCTATATATATACATAATAAACGAAAAACCCAGGGGCAATCAAATACTTATAAAAGTTAAAAATTCAAATTGCTGCTGTAGAGAGAGTGGTATTTAGCAAAGCAAGGAACAATATAGAGGATGTCCCAAAAATGTCTCGCAATCCGAAAGTGGCGGGTTCCTCAGGTCATTTGGAGCAACATTTTCCTTTACAAAAATTTTCTCCGAGGCACCATTAGCGAATTATTAACGAAAAACAGTGACTAATGAGAGGCGAGCTCAGCTGGCGCGAGGCGACCGAGCGGAACTGGGCTTCGTGCGCAGGTTGGCTGGGCCGCCTCGCGTCAGCCGTACTCGATTCTTATTGGTCACTGTTTTATCGTTAATAACTCGTTAACGGTGCCTCGGAGAAAATTTTTGTGAAGGAAGAAGTTGCTTCAAATGATCCGAGGA